TTATCTCGACAATTGCTGCTTATTGGTCCCATTGGATTAGTTTGATGGGAAGGGATCAGTTGTAACAGTGATGCCTTCTAGAGACTTGAGCTCCATATGGCCTGTTTGTTTGCAATACAATCAGTAAGGCATCTTTGCAGAAGGGAAACCCACAGTTTTACAAAAAAAATTGACCCTTACCATTTGAAATGTATTATTTGGAGTGTTCAAAGTAAATATAAATAGACACGATCATGCATCAACCTTACAATAGTGGGACATTTTCATGTCAGCCGTACCCTGTGCCTGCATGATGAATGTTACCTTTCTTATAAGCTTTGGCAATATCTTTTATCTCATCACATGTCCTGGATGCCAGGATCTCGATTAAAACTTCATCCTCTGTACCCACTCCCTGTAAGAAAATTAAAAATTAAAAAGATAACCAATCTAAAATGAGATACGCTCAAGTTTATCATAATGGAAAAGCATTTTCATAACAATGTGTTTTTTATTCATTCTTTTTCTAGTTTTTAATTGTATAGACGATGGAAATGTTTGATGTTACCTTGATGGCTTTATGGAGTTCATGTGCATCATATAATATGGATGGATACATGAGGGCCACGATGAGATCCTCTAACTTCCCTCCCAGCTCTGACCGTAAGTCTTTCCTTAGATCCTGAAAACATGAGCCAAGAGGCAAAAGAAAATATATTGCCCATTAAACTGAAGATGTGAAACTCATTAGCATTTTATCATTGTTTTAGACTTTCATGACAGCACTGAATTATATCAACATCAATAAGAGGATGTGTGCAAAACAACAGTTCAAAATGAATAATCTTGATGTACTGCTATTGATGCACAGCAGTGCTTCTAAGCAATTGAATGGAACAACAATCATGTTTAAATACCTTTTGTCTTAACTTTGAACAGCATTTTTATTGTGTTATCATTTTCAGAAGAAGATGTACTTAAAGTGAAAAGACATTTTTACATAATTTAGATTCAACAAACTAATTATTCCTTGTTTGACACTAGATAATAATGTCATTTGCTCACCTTGCCAAAAGCCTTTTTATAGGCTGCTTTTATTTCCTGTCTCTGGGCATTACTGCGAGCTGCCAGTAACATGAGGATGACATCTTCATCTGTGCCTGAAAATAAAGCATTATAGAAGAGGGCGAAAGTAAGATATAGTGTAAGAGTGAGCTGAAGATGTTTTTCTTTAGTCCACTGATCAGTATAATTTGCTAACAGCAATGACCAGTTATCGCATGATAGTTAGTTACCACTATGTTCTGGCTAATTATGATTGCTAATTGTGGAAGGAAAAACCACCTAGATCTTAACAAAAAGGGGTGAACTCTCTTAAAGGTCTTGTGAAACTTACCTATCCCTTTCATGGCCTTGCGTAAAACTTCTGCATCATGCTTTGCATTGAAGTTCACAAAGGGTTTCAGGCAGCACTATGTTCAGTTCTGGAAAAGAAAAGAAAAAGAGTAGGCTACATAAAGTTATCATTATCAGAACAGTTCAGCAGTAATTGAAACTCATTACGTTGTGATGTGAAATTTCACGTCCTAGAATCCACAGTAGCTAAATGGCTTTAAGACTGTACATAAATAATTCCTGTCATTTACTCATTTAAGCTACGCTGTTACAATACGTTATCTATTCAGGACAGCGAACATCCCTACCTGTTGCTGTATTCAGTCACCTGTGCGCGAGAGGTCAGACTTCTGGCGCGTGTCAACAGTCAGCGAAGTTGTTGTAGCTGGATGAAGGACACGCCCTCAAAACCAGTTGTCAATCATATTGACTGACGTGGAGAACACAGTAAGACGATAGTTGTCAATACTGTAGGCTTTATATTCGGTGTCCTTGTCTTGGTGAATTTATATTTCTCATCGTTTAGTAGACAAAAGGGTTTTAATTATTGTTATTCAAAAAAAGTCAGTAGTTATAGAGGAATGACCATGAGATGCGTAGATCCGTTTGAATCTCTTTTACAGCAAAACTCCAAACGTCCACAGGTGGCCAGTACAGGGCCAAATTTGGGCACTTTTTATCTGTTATATATATAATACATATGTATATAATACATTTAATTTTGCTACATTTCCACAACAATGTAATTTCCATCACATGTCTCGTTTGTTTTGGATAACTTCATAGCTATCAGAATATGTATATCAGATATGTAATAAATAGCAATAAAGAATATGTATTTTTGCATACTTATTTTTTATTTTATTTTTTGCATTATAGCTAGTGTACTTTGGTTCAACTGTATAAGTTGTTGTTTGTGTGCAGACTAAAGATGTTCTAAATGTTTTCTTAAGATGACGTTCAGATGATGTTTGCTCAGCTTTGAACATAATCAATAGTTTGAATATTATTCATTATAAAAGCATCAGGCTTTGACAGAAGTAATAACCAGAACACGGAGAACCCCTCTCCGAAAACTGATTGATGGGCAATATAGTAGATATATTGCTTTGGCCTTCCTTTAAGAATTATGGTTTTGTCAGAGCCTTTTAATGATATGCTTATTTTATTTATGTGATTTATACACCACTTCTACACAGCAAAATAAACCTTACTTTTCTGTTTTAAGGTGATGTGTAAATAAACCATGCTCATTGCTTGCCAGGCAAGAGAGAGACAGGAATATTAAGAGTAATAATTATCAATCAATTACTAATGCGTCAGTGGCTGAAGTGCACTAAAGTTCACTCATACTACATGTAAGTATCCCTCATCAAATAGAAGAACCCTGCTGTTTGTTTGGCTAAATTGCTCAAGTATGCAGTGTGGTGTGAATTTAATTTTCTCACTTCATCATGCACATAAACACACAATGTGAGTGGTTTAATAAAAGCAACAGAGTTTACTTCATTGGGATTCATGCTGATTGAACCATGCGTGCACACATACATGCAAAGTATATCATTTGTTTTAGGTTTTTTGGTTTACTTAACTTTATTCACTTTAGTGTGCCAAAGAAAGGACAATAAAAGATTACTAAAAGAGAGGCAAGAAAGCAGAGTAAAAAATATAAAAAGGCACACTTTTTTTGTTTTACAACACAAACATTATGTCTGAACATTAAACAGTATTGAGTATGACAGGTCTCCATTGTTAGTTAGCAATTCCAAAAGGAATTCAGGGTTGCATTATGGAAAATCGTTTTTCAATTGAGACATTTTCTCAATATGCGACATAATTGATTTCACTCTTTTATTCATAAATAACCCTCTTCATGCCAAGAACAAACAGTAGAAAAAATCTATTCCTTAAACTAGTTAGCAGACATATTGACTGACCTTTTAATTAATCTGTGTGTGTGTGTGTGTGTGTGTGTGTGTGTGTGTGTGAATAGTACTGGCTTTACAAACTATATGTTGAAACTCTGTCTAGTCAGTAATCTATTTTTACAAAGAGCTGATGTCAGAATAACATTTTTATCAGTAAAAGAAAACACGCATTTCCTAAACAGAATTGTGTCTGCTGAAACACAAAGCATCTGCCATACTATAGATTAATAAATAGTCAGTAAATACATCTCACATTTCCATTGCAAAGCTTTAAAAGTCCTCAATACAATTTTTCATTCTTTCATCCATCCCAGGCACAGTATTTACTGTCACTTCTTTCATTGTCCAGCAGCTTCAGAAATCAGAGCTGTATGCAGATCCTCCAAAAGTCTCTTTTTTCATCTTTATCCATGATGTTTCTCTCTCAGAACACACGATGTCTGCGGGAGCCCAGATGTGGCTGCAGGGTGCTATTGCCTACAGAGTTCCTGAGCTGTTTCAGCAGCATCCACAGAAGAAGTCCCATCAGAACCAGCAATACTGTGAAGAGCCCCACATACACACTTAAGTTCCAGCCCCATCCTGCTGTAAGAGGCAAGGAGGTGGATGCCACCAGGAACCTCCTCGGGGAGGGCATCAGTTGCAATAAAATTGCATAAAACTACTGCAGCTCTTTACAGATTCCTGAGATCAAGCAGTGTGACAGTTCATTCGCTTGCTGTGTAAGATTTACCAATGACAGGTGCTCTTCAAGTCTTCTGTCATTAAATCTTTATAATCCAAAAGGAAGCATGCTGTGTCTCTTTGGTGTTGTGCAAAATGAGAATGATGCTTGAAGTCCTCTCTGCAGCTGCGCCCCCTCCTACTGTTGTTGAGTCACATCCACACCCCTTCATCCACTCCTGTGTGTGACCAAAATGTCCCCACAAAATAAAACCTAAAATGGCCATTAAAAATGCTGAATAATCTAATAAAGAAAATCCATGTTTATATGTTATATATAAAAACATCAACAAAAGATCAATATGATTGGGTTTCTTAAGCCAGCCTTTGGTCTGTTTGCAGGTTTTCAATGGGTTTTGGACACTTTCAGCTGAACACCAACCTAGCTTGACCAGTCTGGGATACCAACTATGCCTAAAACCAGACAAAAATTTATTATTTTTAATAAATAAAATTGATTATAAACAAAATGAATGTCTTTTCAGCAGAGCTCCTCTAAGTTGTTGTTGACATATAGGCCTATGCTTCAATAACAAGGTGGACAAGATTAAAATTAGAACTAAATATCTGAGTTGAAATAGCCTAATTAATTAAATAACTATTCCAACTCAGGTTTTAATTATTTAATACCATTTAAATATTCAATTATAGGGAAAAATAGAACTAGAAGCATGATAAAAAAAAACATTTTATATACATTTATATAATGATTAGGAAATTATTTAATGTTTTTATCAGGCTTTTATGACATCTGGGGAAAAAATGTAGTTCACGTGCTTTTTTAAAAGCTTAAAGATAGACAGATAGATAGATAGATAGATAGATAGATAGATAGATAGATAGATAGATAGATGGATGGATGGATGGATGGATGGATGGATGGATGGATGGATTTAAAAATACAGTATTTTCAGTGTTTTGAAAGAATCTCATTACGTTTTCTGTTACCATGGTAACCAGAGATAGTTTGGGTGGCTGACAAACATGGCGCTGCTGAGGAAACGTGTTAGCTGCAAACAACAACACGTTTGCTGCTGCTATACTTAGCCGGATTATTATTTTTGTCCGCGATGGGAAGCATATCGTTTGGATACATGTCTATGAAAAGGCGGTCTAGTTTTTATTCCCCTACATGTTAACGTGACGTGAATGATCTTGTAAAGCGGACCAACTGACACAGCTAACATTAGCCACACCATCCGCAGCAGAATCAGCCACTAACGAACTAATCCGCAGGATAATCCAGTCGGCTGTGACGACTAGCCAGGACCACTGTGTTGTATGTCCATCAGAAAAGCTCGAAATATATATTTCTTTTTCAAAGTACTCTCTTGGGGAATGAATAACAGAACTGTACTGGAGCGTCTTAAAATATCAACGCTAAATAGAAAACGGTTAACTTAACCTGTGACAATTCAAAAGGATCTGTGTAGTGATTATTCTAACAAACGAGATGGAATTGAATTTAAACCACGTTGATTATCTCCAGGTAAGGTCTCAACATCTCTGTATTTGTACATCTGCTGTGATTTACAGTGGCAAATGGGCACTTGGTTGTTTAAAATGCAAACTTGTAAGGTCTGTGGCTGAGACATCTTAAATATTAATTATCAGAAAGGAAATTGACTATGGCCATGTCATCTTTGTTTTCTCAGGTTGGAGTGACATCTCAAAAAACCATGAAACTTCTCCCAACTGTGGGGCGAAAAGCAACTCAAAAGGTATATCTTCATCCCTTTGAAAATAATATAACAGGTTTAGCGTAAATCAAGCTTGTCAAGACCATCTGTTCACTGAAAAGAATTACTACCATTCATCATATAACACAAATAATATTACTCATTCCTCACAGTGCTGACAGTTATGCAAAACAACAACAGTAAATTAAAAGTAATTACATTGAACAAGGAATATTCTTTTAACAGGAAAGTCAGTCTTAAAACTTACTATCAAATCTAGGAAATAAGGTATTAATATCTGTAACAGAAATGTACAGTCTGATCAACTTTCCATAGTTTCAAGGGCTTAATGACGTTTCTGCTGTAGACTATTTTAGGGGCTTACTTTGTAAAACAAGGGTGCTAGAGATTAGATCCCACTTGTGAAAGAGCATTCGACGTGTCCTATTTATTTGAGCATGTGCTTGACATTGACACAATCATCACACGTCATACTGGCCACCCTTTATCTGTCCTTTGTTACATAATTATATCTGGTACTCATGATATCTGTTACTTGGTGACCATATCCAATATTTGATGCTCAAGTGCACAGTCATCCTACACTTTGTGCTCCATCAGGGCTCCGACCTTCAGTATGATGTAGAAGTTCCCGGACCTCCAACTGTTCTGGAACTTCTCAACAGAGATGGTGGTATGTGCTAAAAATCTGTTCATTCATTTTAGTGTGAAAGCATGTATTGGTTGAGTCTGAGAAATTGACAATGCATGACATCTTGATCTTTAGGAAAGGGTGGTGAGGAAGTTCTTTATGGAACAGCTGATGGGAAACTAGGTCTTGTGCAGATTACCAAATCTGGACCCATTACTAGTTGGGAACTGGATAATGAGAAGAAAAAAGGAGGTAGGAATTAGATAGTGAGAGGCTATTGCATATAAAAAATTGAAGCCATGCTAATTTGTATTGGTCTTTTCAAGGTGTGCTTTGTATTGATACCTTTGACATTGTCGGTGATGGTGTGAAGGACATCCTAGTAGGAAGAGATGATGGGACTGTGGAGGTCTACGGGTTGGACAGTTCAAATGAGCCAACACTGCGCTTTGAGAATGTGAGTGTCACATATAAATGACAAGTGATACATGGAACACCCTCATTTAGTCTCTGAACCATTAAGTAAGACCTTGACTCAAATTAAATTCTGCTACACTACACTTAATAGTCGTCTTTCCGCGTTTACAAGGTTTTGTCTGAGAGTGTCACATCGATCCAGGGTGGCTGCGTTGGAAAGGAAATGCATGATGAAGTTCTTGCAACAACTTACACAGGTTTGCTGTGACTGTTAGATAAAGGAATTTTACTGTGTGTTTTCTAAGAACAATACTGTGTGGGTGATGTCAGTATACAGTTTTATCATTCACCTGTGTTGACTGAGAAGTCATGTGCCTGGTTTCCAGGATGGGTGTCAGGTCTCACCACAGAGCCTCAGCAGATGGTAGCAGGCCCAGGAGATGAGATCAAGATGAGCCGGGAGACCCAGGGGAAGGTGGCTGCACTCAGGTACTACACATCCGGCTGAATGATGAATCTAAAACCGCAAAGATCTGTTTACTAAACCTGCCTAGATTTTAAAACACATTCTGACATGCCTAGTTTGGTCGTGCATGTGTTTGTACAGGGCAGAGTTAGAGCAGTTGCAGGTGAAAGTGTTGCAGGGGAGAGAAAAATACCAGCAGAGCTCTCAGTCCAGCACGGCTGTGTCCTCTGTGCCAGTCTTTAGCATCAATGACAAATTCGCATTGTGCCAGGATGATGCCAGTTACAGCCTCACACTAGAGGTGCAGACCGCCATTGACAACTTGCTGCTACAGGTGGGAGAAATACACCAATTCATCTTACTTTTATTTATATAAACTACTGTTCAAAAGTTTGGGGTTGGTAAGATTTTTTTTGCATTTTTGAAAGAAGTCTCTTTCGCTCACCAAGCCTGCATTTGTTTGATCAAAAATACAGTAAAGGCAGTATTATTGTGAAATATAATACAATTTTAAAATCACTGTTTTCTGTTGGCAAAGGTGAATTTTCAGCAGTCATTATTTCAGTCTTCAGTGTCACATGATCCTTCAGAAATCATTCTAATATGCTGATTTTGTGCTCAATAAGTATTTCTTGTTATTACCAACGTTGAAAACAGCTGTTCTCCTTAATATTTTTGTGGAAACTGTGACACATTTTTAAGGATTCTTTAATGATTGGAAAGTTCAAAAGAACTGCTTTTTTTGTGACAAAAAAAAAACAGTTTTACCTCACTTTTGATTAGATTAATGCATCCGTCCTGAATAAAAGTATTAATTTCTTTCAACAAAATCTTTTGAGTGTTAGTGTATGTTAAAAGTTACTTAAAGGTGTGCTTGATTAGTTTACTAGAAGAAATACTTCATTGCATGGAAACAATAACAACATTATTCAATGGGTCCTTTTATAGAATACATTTTAATATGTCTGGAATGTTGTATTGACCAATCAGCATTCAGAACTGAAACTATCCATTTTAATTAAAGATGTTTTGTAATCAAAGTTCTTCTGATCTTCACTAATTCAGCATCATTTTTACATGTGTTGTAATTTCAGCATTGTAAGACTGAAGTTTTATTCCATTTGCTTACATATGCTTTTGTCTTTGACAGAGTGATGTTCCCATTGACCTGTTGGATGTCGATAAGAACTCAGCAGTGGTCAGCTTCAGTGAATGTGATTCAGAGGTAAAGCACCTGTGTGTCACATCATTAAGCTTAAGTAATGACCACATCACATGCGTTTGCAAAACTGTCTTTGTTTGTTCATCTAACCCCACAGTCAAATGGGAACTTCCTCCTCGCCACCTACAGGTGCCAATCAAATACCACTGGTTATAGAAGTGCAGAAGACTGATTCAATGATGGCGGAGTAAAACCGTTTCAGCAGCTCCTGTGGCAGGTTGAACTTCCTCAGCTGGCAAAAGAAGTACAACCTCTGCTGGGCCTTTTTGACAATGGACTCCATGTGAGTGTCCCACTTCAGGTCCTGAGTGATTGTGGTGCCCAGGAACTTGAACACAGGTGATGTTTGGCAGAATGACAGCCTCCGTCACCAACATCTTTTATGGGACACAGAACGTGTGTAGAACTGGGGACCACAACAGTTAAAACACAGGTGATGTTTGGCAGAATGACAGCCAAATCATGCATTTGTCAAACATCACCTGTTTCCACATGAGTTCATATAGTTTTGTTACATTAACACTTCCCAGCTGCCCTTTTATTATTGCAACGGGTGCTGATTTTGAACAAACAGATTTTTTTCTTTTTGATTCAACACTATTCATTACACCATGAAAAAGAATTTGGGTTTTAATATGCTGCTAACACCAATAAGCATGACTGAAGAAAAGAAAAAAAAAAGACAACATTGATTTAACCTATATTTCGACTTAAAAAAAAAAAATCTATAAAACATTTGGGCAAACCTGTTGAAAAGCACTTGTGCTTTTCTGAAACTCAAACAGTTCTCATGGCACTAGCAAGATTGTGGGTTAAGTTCCCAGTGAAATGAACATGCATGAGCAACTGGGGACCACAACAGTTAAAACACAGGTGATGTTTGGCAGAATGACAGCCAAATCATGCATTTGTCAAACATCACCTGTTTCCACATGAGTTCATATAGTTTTGTTACATTAACACTTCCCAGCTGCCCTTTTATTATTGCAACGGGTGCTGATTTTGAACAAACAGATTTTTTTTCTTTTTGATTCAACACGATTCATTACACCATGAAAAAGAATTTGGGTTTTAATATGCTGCTAACACCAATAAGCATGACTGAAGAAAAGAAAAAAAAAAAGACAACATTGATTTAACCTATATTTCGACTTAAAAAAAAAAATCTATAAAACATTTGGGCAAACCTGTTGAAAAGCGCTTGTGCTTTTCTGAAACTCAAACAGTTCTCATGGCACTAGCAAGATTGTGGGTTAAGTTCCCAGTGAAATGAACATGCATGAGCTAAACTTGCGCTTTTAATGCAGTAAGTTTCTTCAGATAAAGGCACGTGATGAACAAATGTAACTACCCTCAGAGTATAGTTGACAAATTCTGTCAAACATCAGAACTGTATTATACATTGGTGTGCACATTCCAAATCATAGTGTTGATACTTTTGCGTATGTCTTCAAGACCTGAAAATAAGTCACTATTTCTAGAAAAACAAATGAAGTTTGAAATGGAAGTGCTACCAAATGAAGCTACTGCAAAAAGGGGGATATAATCACCCATGTAGTGTACAGGACTGGTTTTAGCAGCACTTTAATCCAGTTCTGTTTTTCAGCTCTCTGGGCCCCAAATTGCATGCAAATCTGAAGAACATGGCAGAAGCTTTGGAGAGAAACCCTCCACCAGGCCACCTGCTTTTCAGATCCATGTGGATGAGCCTGATGGTGCATGCTCTAAAAAAAGAGCAACCATGGATTGCTCCCCTCTCGCACTAAATCCCACCGTGACCCGCCTAAGGCAGCCCCTCGCCACTATCGATCTGCCAATGGAGGCCAGTTTTGGTAAGATAAACGACTAAGTTAAATGCAATGCCTATCCTGTCTTGTTGCTCTTTATAGAAAACATGAAATATAAAATGTACAATTCTCAATGCGTAGATTCTCCTATGGATATGTCCGTAATTGATGGTGAGGAAAGGCCCACAAATGTCAATGAAGTCTCTGATTACGCAACAGAAATACACGCACACTTGCGGGAAATGGAGGTGAGGATATGGAAGTTAAACGTTGCGTGTCAATTTTAATCGCACATTTTAATGACCCACGTCCTCTACTAATTGGCTCAATGTTTACGCTTTGTCACGCAGGTTAAGTCAAAACCAAAAGCAGGTTACATGAAGAAACAGCCTGACATCACAAACAGCATGCGTGCCATTCTGGTGGACTGGTTAGTGGAGGTGGGAGAGGAGTACAAGCTCCAGAATGAGACCCTCTACCTGGCCGTGAACTACATCGATCGCTTTTTGTCTTCCATGTCTGTCCTGAGAGGAAAACTACAGCTAGTTGGCACAGCTGCTATGCTTTTGTCTTCGTAAGTATCATTGCCTTAAAGGGATAGTTCACCCAAAAATGAAAATTTGATGATAATCTGCTTAGCCCCAGGGCATCCAAGATGTAGGTGACCGTTTCTTCAGTAGAACACAAACGAAGATTTTTAACTCAAACCATTGCTGTCTGTCAGTCATATCATGTAAGTGAATGGGAATCACTGCTTTGAGTCAAAAACATGCACAACCAAAACCAAATTAAACCCTGCGGCTCGTGACTATGCATTGATGTGTAAAGACACAAAATGTCAGTTTTGTTTTTTGATTTTTACCTCTGATGCACTGCAATGTCTGAACTGTCCGGAGCTTGCTTTATGGCGGATCGCAGACTTAAGTGCATTACCGCCACCCATCTCTCAAATGGACCATTGACACTCCTAAAAAAACGAAATACTGTTCAGTTTCTTGCACAGACCGATCGTTTTGTCTTTACACAATGTATCACGAGCCGCAGGGTTTAATTTGGTATTGGGTTGTTTTTTTTTTTTTTTTTCTTAACTGTTGCTCACACTTCTGTTTGACTGTAGGAAGTTTGAGGAGATCTACCCCCCTGAGGTGGCAGAATTTGTTTACATCACCGACGACACCTACACAAAAAAACAAGTGTTGCGGATGGAGCATCTGGTGCTAACAGTTCTCTCGTTTGATCTTGCTGCTCCAACAATCAATCAGTTCCTCACCCAGTATTTCTTGCACCAACCTGTGAGCAGCAAAGTGGAAAGCTTATCAATGGTGAGTGTTTCCTGCAGTTCAGTGATTACATTGTGTGGTGTATCCCTGTTATTGCACCGTTTTGACACTTTGTCGTCCCCCCCCAGTTTCTTGGTGAGCTGAGCTTGATAGATTGTGACACCTTCCTGAAGTACCTCCCATCTCAAACTGCTGCTGCAGCTTTCATTTTGGCCAATCACACAATTGCAGGTGGATCATGGGTAAGTCTGCACAATCAACTTGGGCAAAAACTAGGATGTTGGTCATTGTGTGAACATTATGCTAGGTTGAAAATCCCTTGGCTACCTGCTGGTTGATCGGTCAGTGTTTACATTATCAAACTGGTCCAATATGTTAATGCGCACGTGGGGTCTTTGTTTTTCCTCATAACTCTCTCTTGCAGTCGAAGGCACTTATTGAGATGACTGGCTACACTTTGGTGGATCTTATGTCGTGCATTCAGGATCTACATCAGATCTACCTCGGTGCTGCTCAGCACACACAGCAAGCTGTTAGGGAGAAATACAGGGGCTCAAAGTAAGGTCGCTTGCTCTACACATTCAATAGCTGTGTTGGCAATGGCTAATGTTTTCCTCTCGTTCCCTCCAGGTACCATGAAGTCTCTCTCATTGAGCCTCCAGAGAAGCTGATGCTGAACTAACCAGCTCACCAACATTGTGTTCATTGGTTCCATACCTCTATGGGAATTGTGCGCACTCTTTTTGATGCTTTATTTCCATAACTCCAATAACTGAAGCCATAGCCTCAATTTCAGGGCAATGGTGAAATCTTAGTGATCTGTACATTGATATTTGCAGTCCTTAAGGATTGTTTTTTTTTTTTTATATATATACATATAATGCTTGATACGACCAGATATTTGTACATTAGGTAATCAAGCATTGTTTTAATATTTTCAGTGTTTGTATTCAATTTTTATGAACGACTTCCAGCAATGCACTTTATCATTTAATTTTTAAGTAACCCTCCCTTTTACATCTTAATAAAAGTGCTGCTGGCCTTTTAGATATTTGTACATTAGGTAATCAAGCATTGTTTTAATATTTTCAGTGTTTGTATTCAATTTTTATGAACGACTTCCAGCAATGCACTTTTATCATTTAATTTTTAAGTAACCCTCCCTTTTACATCTTAATAAAAGTGCTGCTGGCCTTTTAATGTGTCTTGTTTCTATTCATGTTTTGTTGAGGTGGGAGGGCAGGGGATAAACTGATGCTGTCTTAAGGTCACTTAAATCTTACGGGATTTAAACAACCTGTTAAATTGGGCACTAAATGAGTACTACACTAATTTTGTAAAAGAGGCTGTCTTGTCATGGTTAAAGGGCATTGTTAGGTGCACTAGATTTTACAAATTAAACTTTATTTGAACCGCACATTATAAAAGTGGTTACTTATACTGGCAATTATTTAAGTTAAGCACTGCTTTGGGCATAACTAAATTTGAAGTCTTACACTTTTCCATCTATTTCTTTTGTAAAGTCACGGTAGTGCAAAAGTATCTCGTACCATTAGCACAAATGGGAATGCAAAAATGTTATGGTTTGACCACATCATGACCATAAGTGCTGCTTTTAAGAACTACATGATTAAAATTAATTAACTTAAATTCAGTAGGTGGCAATCTTTTGCTAAATATATAGTCAGTTACAGCATGTTTATGCACAGATATAACCGCTTCACCAGCAACCGACGCCACAAACTATCCTCAAATTTCATATGGCATTTCAAGAGGTTCTGTGGACCTGTTTAATGGGTGGTTGACCCTTTATCCCAGAGGAAGCTCACCCTAACACCTTTCAAGCATTTCCATCCCTGCTTCATTATCTTGATGTGAAAATTTAACAAAATATATAATAGTGGCACAGCAAAATCTTAACTTTTGCCAGAACAGTAACAGTTTTAAGAAACAGAAATCCTTATATAATTTACACTAGCCTAGGTATTTCAAATTATTTCTACATATCTTTATTGATTAAATTACATTGCTCAGCAAAAACTTTAAAATCTGAAATTAAACCACATTTGGTAGTTACAACTTAATGTTTTTTTATTCATCTACATAGACCATAGTTAAAAACAGAGGCAACTTAAGTAAATTCAGTAGGTGGCAATCTTTTGCTAAATATATAGTCAGTTACAGCATGTTTATGCACAATTATGAACCAGATATAACCGCTTCACCAGCAACTGACGCCACAAACTATCCTCAAATTTCATATGGCATTTCAAGAGGTTCTGTGGACCTGTTTAATGGGTGGTTGACCCTTTATCCCAGAGGAAGCTCACCCTAACACCTTTCAAGCATTTCCATCCCTGCTTCATTATCTTGATGTGAAAATTTAACAAAATATATAATAGTGGCACAGCAAAATCTTAACTTTTGCCAGAACAGTAACAGTTTTAAGAAACAGAAATCCTTATATAATTTACACTAGCCTAGGTATTTCAAATTATTTCTACATATCTTTATTGATTAAATTACATTGCTCAGCAAAAACTTTAAAATCTGAAATTAAACCACATTTGGTAGTTACAACTTAATGTTTTTTTATTCATCTACATAGACCATAGTTAAAAACAGGCAATAAATATAATCGCGACAACATGCCTTGAACAAGCAAATGACAAATTCTCAAATGCAGTTACAATTTGCCCTGACAATAAACAGAATTGAAGGCAAAAACTGAGTATAGGGCTCTACGCAATAGATGAGAATCACAAAATATTTGACAACACCTCGATCATATGTTCACATGAAAAAGGCATCCTCAAGTAACATCTGAAACTTCCTGAACCCAAATGGCATTCCGATCATTGTCAACTATTGGGAAAGGCTCAGGGCAAGGTACATTAAGTTTTTCAAGGTAATCCAGTACAATAAAAAACTTAGCAAGAACATATAAAAATGGAATCAAACTAAAAAAAACAGACAAGCCTAATGACTGCTGAAATGTGATTTCTCAATGTGTGATTTCATTAGAAAGACGAGCTATATCGCTTTACCCTAACAGTTAAGATTAAACATCTCAAGGGCTCCTCTCTACCCCCTGAAAATCAATATGAATATAAAAACTAATGAACTGAAAACAGTTGTACCCCTTATCAGACAACTGCACAGAGATACATCTTGCTGTTTTGTTTTTTGGATGTAGTCGATCAGATTGATAGTCTCTCCAAACATAGCAAATGCCTCAGTGCAGAGGAGGACATCCATCTCTGAGTGATCAGACTTGGCTATCTTGTTTGTAAGTCAATCTCAACAGACAAGCCTAATGACTGCTGAAATGTGATTTCTCAATGTGGTGTGATTTCATTAGAAAGACGAGCTATATCGCTTTACCCTAACAGTTAAGATTAAACATCTCAAGGGCTCCTCTCTACCCCCTGAAAATCAATATGAATATAAAAACTAATGAACTGAAAACAGTTGTACCCCTTATCAGACAACTGCACAGAGATACATCTTGCTGTTTTGTTTTTTGGATGTAGTCGATCAGATTGATAGTCTCTCCAAACATAGCAAATGCCTCAGTGCAGAGGAGGACATCCATCTCTGAGTGATCAGACTTGGCTATCTTGTTTGTAAGTCAATCTCAAAACTGTCCCAATCTGTGAACTGTGTGTAGTAGTATGTGCATGTTAGTTAGACACCGGTGGGAGCAAGGCGGCTAATGAAGGCAATGCTGTTGAGGCACATCCGCCTGAAGAAGGCTGGACAGCTGGGCTTCATCACAAAATGCTCCAGTAAAATCCTCAGCTCCGTGAACAGAGTCCTGATGGGACAAAACCACTGTGAACATTGATACTGGGCTCAGGACACTTTTATAATATAATTATTATACATTTAAAAACTGCTGAGCTTCTAATTGGCTCGAATTATACATTTTCATGTAATTGAGAACAGCATGCATTACCCCATATTTTGGGTAAAGTGTGCATGTGTACATCTAATACTAGTCTTTCAGATACAAGATCCTTACCGGCAATATGGGTTGCGTCTTGAGGAATAGCGCAGAGTGAGAAACCTGTAGTAGATGAATGGCTGAAGCAAGCTGCCTTGGCCACTGTAAATCACAAACCAAACATCCTTCCATCTTATTACAAGAAACACAGCATGGCTTTAATCGTGCTTTTTACCAGCAACAAACCACTACTTTTTTAACCCAATAAAGCCTACTGTGTCATATTTGATACATAAATTTCTAGGACTAAATTATTAAAACTTTGCTGAAAAACCCTGCACAATCTGATTATACTTTTTAGCAACTTAAAATGATCAAACTACCTAAATATGTCTCCTTTCAGGTTGTGGTACTCGTGTTGTTTTGGTGTGAAATCTTGTATGGTGTTCGGGTCTGTGGGACCCGTTTTCACTTTTTATCAAAAGAAAAATTATACTATTAATTATTTTTTCAAACTCATTGGCCTTGGCTCATTTTCTGTGAAGAACATATATCAGAACAAATTTTCAATGACCACTCACTGTACACTTTTGTGTTTCTGCCCCTGCCGTTCCCGCACAAGGTTGTAAAACTTTAATTCATAAATGTGATCTAACAAAGGTAAAGGGCAAATTTTGACCATATATGCCGTTTATATTGCTTGCAATTGGGATGAAGTAAACATCTGTTGAGTATTTTAACATATAATTTTTGATTGTGTTGAATTAAAAACCCAAAACTGCAGCTGGTCCACCAGACCCACGAACACTGGCAAACAAAAATATGAACACCACACAAGGGTTAATGATTTTTATAAAGTAAACATAAGAATAACTTATATTGTTTTGTATAACTTGTGTGGTTACAATTATTTCAAGATGAACACTTACCAGACTGAAACATTTTTGGTTTATCTGACTATCTATACATATTTTTTTGAAAAATCGTGTTAAAATGTATCTAATATGATAAATAAGGTTTTTGAGGAAAGTTTTTGTACATCTCACAATCATCATTGTATTGCATTGCATTATGTTTTGACCAAACAATAAAAACTACAGAGCTTTGATCAGAAAACTAAGCATTTAAATATCATCTCACCAAGACATTTGGCGATTTAGAATGACAACTGATATTTATATGCATTTATGTTAGAATTCTTGTACACTATTACAAAGATCTCATTGATTTTCATCACAAGCTATCAGAATGTCATCTTTTTTTGACCATATATAAATAACATCTACAACAAAATGAAAATGTTTGCTCTGTTTGGGCCTACTGAGGTGTTTTCTCTCTCTCTGAACTCTAAATTCTCCTTTATCATACTTTTCTCCTATTAAATTCGGTTAAGACAGAGATATTACTTATTGGGCCAAAAGACAGTACAACGAATCTCATGGATTACAATTTACAACTAGACGGGTGTACTGTTACTTCCTCTACAGTCAAAAATCTGGGTGTTATATTAGATAGCAACTTGTCTTTTGAAAATCATATTTCCCATGTTACAAAAACAGCATTCTTCCATCTTAGAAACATAGCCAAGTTACGAAACATGATACCTGTTTCTGATGCAGAAAAGCTAGTTCATGCATTCATGACCTCTAAACTGGACTACTGTAATGCACTGCTAGGTGGTTGCAGGGCTCTACAGTGTGACCATTTCAGTCGCATTTGCAACTGAAAACTACTGCGTGCGACTATGAAATAATATTTAGGAGCACCTGTGTGACTGACCCGATCAGCATAATTCTGTTTGCGCTGAGGGAGCTTCAAAGGTTCTAATATACGTACGTGTTTCTGCAGCGTTGAGTAATGTATCACAGACATATCCTCTCATTATAACAAACAAAGTGTTGACGGGGTGTAAATAAGATATTCGTTATGCAGTGTAGAGAGCTTCGTCGATTATAATGGAGTTTTGTGAGATTGGGATAAACTAAGCTAAATAGTCCTCATCTTACTAATGTGATCCCACAAAATACAATATTGTTAATGCCTATTGTGTTGGGGTCAATCTGACCCACACTCAATTTTCTAATTGCTTGAAATACTGATATTTCTTCTTGAATGTGTGACTTTTTCTCATTTAGGGTCATGAATGTGCATGCAAAGGTTCGATACAGAGATGTGTTTTGGAAAGGCTGTACAAATTTTGTGTTCAAATATGAAATACATGAGAACTTGTGAAATATTCAAAATTGAGACTTGTCTTCTGAATCATCCAAGGAAAAGAATCTAGTTGGGTTTCACATCAAAGACAGTTTTTTTCTAGGCTCTGACAGGCTAGAAGTTTGTCATAGTGCCTTAACACATACGTTTCACACAGTTTTTTTAACAAAACAGGATGGTAAAAAAGCTTGTGAAAGTGCCTTGTAAAAGAACATGACTCACCCAAGCAGTGGCAGAATGAACATGATGGAGCAGTAGACAGTGAACAGCCGTGACAGCCACATAGCTGTTTCCAGCTTATTACTCAAGAGGAATTGCTGCAATACATTAATATGATCCTGAGTCAAGGTTATAATGAATATACAAACATTCTGGAATAAAAAGCAACTTAAAAAGTAATATATACATGTGTGTGTGTGTGTGTCGGGTCATTGTATAGTAATTGAAAGAAAGGTATTAAACCTAAAAAGTCATTGCACTTACCACAGGGCCTGACTGAGGAGGTGGACTCCTTTGCTCTGTGTCTGCCATCTTTCAAATATTACAAGGCTCTGTTTCTTGAGAAAAATAAACTTAATATGCAGAACTTCAGAAAATAAACATCACACATTCATGTACCCAGGTTGCTTATTAACTTTAGGAAGGAAGAAAGAAAAGGACAAAGTGACTTCAGTTAATCTTTCTAAACCCTGAAACAGTTCTTAAGCAGTTAGTCTTTGTGTGGTTTGCCAGGTGTGGGGGTGGACAAAACACAAGCAAATTAGCTCTAACTAGCTCTATGCTTTTTGATTATGCTTATTTAAACATGAAGCTTTCTTTACAATTTGTTGACAAAATTTTTTTATTGTTTATCACCAAGGCACTATTACAAATCGGTAGGAGATACATTCATGATGTCCACCCAAAGCAGAACTACACTTGTCAAGGTAAATGCTGACTGACTAGTCATGACAACTGAAAAATCAACCGGCAAAAATTACAGATTTGTAAATATTATTGAACACGTCAATCGTTGCCAGGCTTTTTAAAATACTTAAATAAATGCAGACGAATGGTCCATCATGTAGTTATAAAGTAGCCTATTAATTTCAGTTGAAATATGTCGGGAAAATCTAGAACACTTCATTACCCAGAAGAGCTAACAATGTAGCCGACAAGCTAACTCTTCACAGACCCGACTACAACCACTGACTGCCCTGAAATACCTGCAAATTATGCGCGTATTTATATTACCAAAAATGTCATATGAAATGTATCAATACCTGCGATATGTTGTTGATTATCAGGTTTTGTGAGAATGTAAAATTTGGCTTTATTTTCACCGCACACGGTTCACTCCGGAAAAACGCAAGAGAGGTTGGTCAACTGAGTCGATTTCGCGACCTCTGTGGATTACCGAAATCTCGCGATGTTTCGGCCCACATGATTCGCTAAATTATTTTGCGTTTTCAATCAGCTGTCAGTTGTGTGTGTTTTTCTGTTTCTTTGTTTCAAATATACTCTATAATAAAATAGATAAATATTAAATAATGATGATCGAGGTTTGACATACAAAGAACATCTTCTACTCATTAATATTTTTTTCCATCGTTCATTATGTTTACTGTACTTTCTCCACCCTGCCCAGGTGTGTCTGTGCCGGTGCACAGCTGTGTGTTGTCTGCCTTCAGTCCTTGGCTCTGTGGGGCTCTGTCAGCCATGCCATCCCTCCGGAACGGGCAGAGGAGACTGATTGAAGTTCAAGCCGTGGAGGCCTGTACGTTGCTCAGTCTGGTCAGTCTGCTGTACTCCGGTCAGTTGAACGAGGACAAAGAGGAAGTCCTCTCAGCAGCCTGTAAACTCGGCATTGACATACCTCAGCAAGTATCAAAGAGGCCGGCAACTGAGCGAAACACACAGACAGAGTGCATGAAAGAGATGGCGGAGAGAGAGTGTCAAACCGAGGCTGTTCCTTCTGAATGTCAAAACCCCAAAGAGACCATTGAAAGTGTTCATCTGATCGGGACGTCGTCATGGAGGACCGATCAGGGGCTCAGCACGTACACCGATGGCTCTGATATCACCCTGGCCACACTTCAAAACATCCAGGGTAATCCAGAGAACATGCCTTCCTTTCAAGTCATGGATGTGGTCCCTGAAAATGCAATCTATCCCACAGCAAGTGGACCGGCCAGCGTGCCCCAGGTCTATGTATGTCCCCTTTCAGCTTCACACCAACAGCCTCCAAACCCACTGCCACCTCACCCTTACCCTTCTCATAGTACAAATGTTGAGCCATTGGCCAGAGAGGGCCAGCCAGCATTGGGGGGCGTTTCAGAGGGTGAGGAGTGTGTTTTAGAAGCATTTGCACGGTTCGAGAACAATATCCCAGGTTTTATCAATTACTTTCTTGACACCAACATCGTGCAGGGTGCAGGGCAAAGGGAGCCGAGTCAGAGAGGGATGAGAGGGGATGTCAAAACTGAGGGAAGGGCGACGAGGGTGCGGAGGGCGGGAGCACGCGGAGGATTTGCTTTGAAGGGAGAAGGATTGAGAATTTGTAAAAGAGAGCAAAATATGAATAGGTACGGAAGAGTGGCGAGGTCGGCCTGGATGGGGCAAGGTGGGGGTAGGGTTGGCAGGATGCTAGACACCAGACAAATGTTCAAGAATCAAGAGAAGCTTAAACGGAGACGACAAGGCAGAGGAGCCAAGAAAGAGGAAGGAGAGGGAGGCAGATCAAGGGGGAGACCCAGGCAGAGACATACAGGAAGCAGAGGCAGATTGGTAGAACCAGTGTGTCAGGTAGGTGTCTCACGACATCTTCAGATGAGGAGGTATGACATAAAAATAACAAAAATCTTCTATTTTTATTCATTTCTGTTTAAATGGGTCATATCATAAGCAATCTAATTTTCCTTGATCTTTTGAGGAAGAAGTTTTGCTTTGGATAAAAGCATCTGCTATGAAAACATACTGTAACTCGGAATACTCAAAACGTTCTCTCAGAACCAAAAAGTCTGTTCAAGGAGACTAAAATGTCTCGTTCTGAACTTCTGCTATTTTGAATGCAATGATGTATGTCAAATAAAAATTTAAAATATCAAAAATGCACTATCATTCATAAGTTTGGTGTCAGCAAGACCACTAAGAATGCGTTAAATGTAACAAAAATTACATTTATAATGTTACAAAATATCTATTTTAATAAATACTCTTCTTTTGAACTTTGTATTCATGAAAGATTCATGAAAAACAATATTTACGGTTTCCACAAAAATATTAAGCTTCACAATTGTTATCAGCATTCATAATTATAAGAAATGTTAGTTGAGCACCAAATCAGCATATTAAAATTATTTCTGAAGGGTCATGTGCACACTGAAGACTGGAGTATGGCTGTTGAAAATTCAGCTTTGACATCACAGATGTCAAAATACATATGATATATTAAAACAGAAAACAGTTATTTTAAATTGTAATAATATTTCACATTATTACTGTTTTTCCTATAGTTATTTTTAACAAATGCTGCCTTGATGAGCATAAGAGAAAAATGACTGGCCCCAAAACTTTTAAATTAAAAGTATATTAAATATACAATATATGAAATATAAAAATGTATGATATGACCCCTTCAGAATATAAATGCAACTAAGCAGTTACTCTAATGTTCTCTGAATTAAAACACTTGTCTATTTTTCCATAGGATACAGCTCCACCTCAAAGAAGGCGAAGAGGTCGCCCCCCTGCACCGCTCTTGTTTAGCCTGTATATGGTCCCACTAAGTCAAATAATGAGAAAGAACCAAATTGCCTATCACAGCTATGCTGATGATACCCAGATTTACCCGCTTTTAGCTATTTTGCCGCCCACAGTTGGAATCGGCTTCCAGAAGAGATCAGATGTGCTAAAACATTAGCCACATTTAAATGCAGACATTGGTTATAATGAAATGTATGTACTTTGTGTAACTCACACACAATAATTGCACAGAACTGAGTCACTGAAGTGAACACAAGTTTATTTATTAAGCATTTATTTGTCTGTGATGTTTTTGTCATCCTCCTACACATTACACCTGAGCTGCTCTCAGCCAGTCCCCCTCCAGGGATATGGCCTAACTTAGCTTTGGTTTGCATTGGTTGTGTGGAGCACCTCCAGAGGGTGTTGTTTAGCACCTGACATTAGTCATAGTCAGAAATGTGATTGGCACCCTCGTGTAAAACATGATGGTATGTGTGCCGCGTAGATGTGTGCGTTCCTAGCAATAAAAAGGCACTCGTTAGGAAAAACAGTGTGAGCGTGTGTATGTGTAAAGTGTGTTTGTCGGGCGGCAGGGTGATCGGTGAAGTGTCCCCCGGTGAGCCTGAGCTCTTAGTGCTGGATTCTGCGGATGGACTGGATCTGAGGGGTCTGGCTGTGGGAACCCCAGTTTCTCCAGTGCTGAAAGTCTCCGCTGTGCCTCTCACACTCCATGATGTACTGCCTTCCCCTGTATCCTGGGAACTCGTAACACACAAAACTACACACAGAGATGGCGAAATGAGGGTCAGGTATTACTGTGTTGAAAAGAAATATAAAAAGACACAATCCCACACACTATCAATCCTTGCTAAATATTGAAGTTTATTTACAAAAGCAACGTTTGGACCGAAACGTTGCTTTTGTAAATAAACTTCAATATTTTGCAAGGATTGATAGTGTGCGGGATTGCATCTTTTTATATTTTGGACTTGACAGTTTTGTTGGACCTTCTATCGTTTTTTCAGGTGTGCTGTTGATTGTGTTGAAACGAAAGAAATAATGGGAAAATACAGAGAAGAGACTCACGCGCCGCATTGCACATGCATGGAGCCCACTTCAGGACCACACCATCCCATGGCCTGCAGAGAGGGATAGTCGTCACACAGCTCCACACAGCGGCCCAGGAAGTTCTCCCTCTCGAAAATGGTCATGCGACTGCTCTGGTGAGACTGAGGGGAGACGAGAGAGAGAGATTGACCCCACATATCCACATATTCAAGTGATTATATCAGTGCTGTTGTTGTTAACTAAAACTATTAAAAATGTCTCTGTTAATTTAAATTAAAGCTGAAATCAAAGAAAATATAAACAAACAAAAACAAAATATTGCCTTGTTAAATTACTAAAAACTACTAAAACTAGAACGGAAATAAAAATAAAGCTAAATAGACATACAAAATATTTAAAGGTAGAGTCATTATTTTTTTTAACTCATTAAAAAAGTTAAGAGATTAATAAATAGTACTAAAATAAATAGTGAATACATTAATAATATTTTTGAAGCAATATGTTAAAATGATGTATAATGACATGAGAGGAAGACTCCAGTCATACCAGTATATCCAATAAGTACATTCAACTTTACCTGAATGCATACAGTATGCTTGCATAAAGCAATATAGCCAATCTCAACTAGTTGACCTATTGAGGCTGCCAAGTTGAGATCACATGACCAGTCCAATGCAACTTGCTTTATTTCAATAAATCCTGTTATGGACACTTGGTGAATAAATATTACATATTAGCCAGCACAAAATAGTATATGCCTTTAAGATTTCTAGCATATAAAAGGGAGGGAATAACTCACAGCGCAGTAGACAGGTCTAAAAGACATGAGTCTCTCCACATGGTATGACAGGTTTCCACTGTAGGCATCCCAGTGAGGATACTCTCCTCTCTCCAGGATGAACTGCTGTCCCTGGAAGTCGTGGTGCTCATAACCCAGCCAGCTATGGAAAGAGAGAACATCCAGTCATACATGGGCATACAGTTAGATGAAAACTCCCTAGTGCATACTGTATTCAGTTACCAAACGCTGTAACTTACGCGCCACTCTCAACGCGAATAGAACGGATGTTGTCGAAGCCACACTCCTGAATGTTGCAGCATTCTGAGGTGAACTCCTGACATTTTCCCTGGAAGTGTTCCTGCTCAAACACAGTCACCTAGCAGAACAAAAGCACAAAGGTTAAGTAAAGGGTTTTCCTATAATATACGTGCAAAAATTCCTCATACCATATTCTATTGATCTATTAGATGCATTAGTATAATACCTTTTTTTATATATATTAAAGTCCTGGGTATTTCAAAAGGTACTAAAAGTGTGTGTGTGTGTGTGTGTGTGTGTGTGTGTGTGTGTGATAGTCGCATCGCATTCGTCTGTTTGCTTCTCACTGGAAGGGCATTGGAGTGGGCTACCGCGGTGTGGAGTGAGAATCAGACTGTTTTCCCTTCTTTCTTGGCCTTCATCCAGCGGTTTAAGGAGGTGTTCGAACATCCCGCTGATGGAAAGGAGGCGGGTGAGCAGCTGTTATCGTTACGCCAGGGCAGAGGTTCGGTGTTGGATTACGCTCTCTCATTCCGCACTCTCGCTGCACAAACAGGGTGACCGGAGGATCCTCTCAAACTACACTTCCGCAGAGGACTGAGCATGGAACTGCAGTCTGAATTAGCCTGTCGAGACGAGGGGAGATCCTTAAATCAATTCATCGAACTGGCCATTCGGATTGACAACATCCTTGCATTGATTACCAAGGACTCAATGACATTACTATAAAGTTTTGCTACCCCTTGCCCTTAGTCCCTGCAGCTCTGGAACAGCTCCAAAAGGCAAGATATTTCCCCAAGCTGGATCTGCGCAGTGCTTACAACCTCATTCACATCCGTGAGGGTGATGAATGGAAGACTGCATTCTCTACCACAACTGGGCACTACGAGTATTATGTTATGCCGTTTGGGCTTGCCAACAGTCCTTCAGTGTTTCAGGCCTTCATCAATGATGAGTTCAGAGACATGTTAAATCACTGGGTCATTGTTTACATTGACGACATCCTAATTTCCTCGGATTCGTACGAGGATCATGTCAAGCATGTCCGGGCGGTCTTACAATGTCTCATCAGCCACTAGCTATATGTCAAAGCCGAGAAGTGTGAGTTTCATCAGGAGACAGTATCATTCCTCGGATACGTGATCAGTTCAGGAGGGGTGGCCATGGACGACAGGAAGGTCAGAGCCGTTGTCGACTGGTCTCTGCCTGCCACCTTAAAAGAACTACAATGCTTTCTAGGATTTGCCAACTTCTATCGGAGATTCATTC